GGAACATTCGACAAATGGTTTCCAAAAGGCTTGGACATTTAGTTCAGAATTCAAACTGTGGCAAACAAGAAAAAGAAGCGAATTTCAGACTGCCTAACCTCTATTATGCATAACACATACATGCCTACTACAGAGCAGGCTGTGGTAGGATGTGCGTACAGTCAAGTTTGCGTATAACGCCACTCGGCGGGGCGTCAGAAAAGTGTCCTTATTCGCGAAGTGTCCTTATACATGTACCCGAAGTCTCATTATATGTATTACAGCTAGATGGGACTTTGCTTTGGGCATGGACATTCTGTCACTATTCGCGGATTGTCGTTATACCCGCAGTCGTTATTAGCGAAGTTGACTGTATATCAGACCAGGGAGTGGTTACATACAGGAAGATGACACGGGCGACTGGAACACGATACCATGTGGGTTTCTCTCCCAGGCTGCCCTACACGTAACGGTCGCCCTCGGCCAGGCTGATTTATACACACTCGCCATGGCATAGCTGGACTGGGTCGCGCTCAGGGACAGCAAGTCAAGCCGCGGGCCACAACCACAAGTTTGAAAGATCATCGATCAGTTAGAACTTCTAAACCCGGGGTCGAAAAGGACGACGTTTCAGGTACTATGGTCTCCTGCTGTATCCCTAGCTACAACTCCTTGGTGACCACTCACCTCGTCCAGTTCCGCTTGGATCACCACCTTGTATCTGTTACATACAAGTAATTATACACAGACACAACAACAGACAATGATACAAAGGACAACCATCATAAGAAGCAGCAGCAACAGCAACACCAGCAACAACAGCAACAGCAGCAACAGCAGCAGCAGCAGCAACAACAGCAGCAGCGGCGGCAGCAGTGGCGGCAGCAGCAGCAAGGTCAGTGACCACAATTGCGACAAGCACACAGCAGATAAAGCAGCATCAGTGACACGCAGCGGATGTGCCAATACAATGAAAGACAAATGGCTCCTGAACCGGCTTGAATACTACACCTGCATGTAGTATGGACAGCAGGGGTGTCGCACACGCTACGGTCACCATAGTATCAAGAGTACATAACCCCCCAGAGTGTGCAACGCCTGATCCAGCTGTGCAAAGGGTCTTGGTCGAGCGGAATCGGATCTTTGCGTCATAATACCGTACACATCTGAGAGGAACCCGGGAATTCGCGGGTACTCTCGGATCAAAATCAATGGTGCCCTGCCTCGAGACCGGCCTTGGGCTGGTGTGGAGTGTACGCATGACATCAGAAGATCCGATTCCGCTCGACCAAGACCCTATGCAGAGCTGGATCGGCGTTGCACACTCTGGGGGGTTATGTACTCTTGATAGTATTAACAGACCGTACCACGTTTTGCCCCAGGTACCCCGTGAATCAATAAATACACTGGTCTGGGATCTAAGTTTCCAAAAATGTTCGGCTCAGCCTCCACTCCCCCACGAGTAAATTGTACTTGAGATGGCTGACCGTGCCACACCATCCGACGCCCCCCGTACAGTCTAGCCTAGTACAGCACTGGTAAGTGAACACACAAATTGTACAATATCATGACTCTAGTCTGTACTACTGATAACGAAGTGCTAACTCTAACGAGTTAACGAGGAGAAATCTGCCGTTAAAATAGAAATCGTTATACAGAAATCGATACATATACTGTTCTATTGAGCGTTGAGAATGAGTGAGAATCGTTACCTTTGCTACACGTAAACCAGTCAATTTCGGGAAATCGTTATATATGCGCCTCGTTAGAATAATGGCTTTTACAGTATAACCGTGTTAACACAGCTAACACAGTGCAGCACTCACAAGACCGCGTGCAGCATTCTTTACTTTCTTGGATAAACAAAATACGAAACAAAACAAACACAAGAGTCCAGCCTCAAACTCTTGCACGGCAACTAAACCTGAAAGTCCAAAAACTGCAGGCACGGGAAGGGGCATATGCTAGATGCATGACAGAATACAATGTACAATTGAACTACATGTACCATGGAGTGTCGAGGGAGGGGTGGGGGGCAAAGGAATGCAACAGTACATATGCACTGATCACAGGGGTGTCGGACAGGCCATGGTCACTACGGTATTGACCGTACCACTTTTTGCCACCAGGTACCCCATCAATCAATCAAGAGCACTGATTTGGACTCTAAATTTCGAAATTTTCAGCGGAGCCACCTTTCCCAGCAAGTAAACTGTTCCTCAGATGCCTGACCGTACCACCGTAAATTACTCTCCGACGCCTCTACAAAAGAATGCAACACAGTGCATATGCACTGATCAGCTGAGTAGGTAGATGTGTACAGTAAACTGGAGTAGTGCAGCACGACTGTGATATCCACACCGTTTGATTTCCCATTACCACAATTATGCATGCACAAGATCCACATGAAGGAATTAGGACACTCAAGATGAACTAGATCTGAGTGTGCGACGACAAGACCCTGCTGGTGTGTGACTAAAAAATAAACCATATTGCCCAGACCCTCCCCTGGTGTGTGTGTATTGGAAATGAACACCACCCAACACTCTCACTTTTCACGACAAGCGGGCACATGTGCTCACGAACGCAACACAACTCACCATGAAGTTGCGTATGGACCGATGGAAGACTGCAACACAAGCACAAATACACACACAGCAACAAATCAAAACAGAACAATTAGTAATCACCACAAGCCAAACGAAGCAGCAGTAACAGCACCACCAGCAGCAGGAGCAGCAGCAGAGGAAAATAACTGTTGAGTTTCCCCGCATGAAAACCTCTGAGACCCACCATCATGACTGCCACGTGAATACTTCGCAATCTGCTATTCCTGATTCGACTGCATTCGCGACACACGCTATTGTTCTCATTGCTACACATGCTTGCTCTGCTCTCTGTCCATTCCAGACAAACACACCTTTAGGTCAAGTATTATTTCCACCGTACTGCTTCATCTGTCACAAAGTTACTGGAACACACCTTAACCCCGAAATTGTTAGCATTTACAGAACACGTGACACGCTCTGTGGGAAATGTGGCCGTATCCCTAGACACCTTAACCCCGAAATTGTTAGCATTTACAGAACACGTGACACGCTCTGTGGGAAATGTGGCCGTATCCCTAGACACCTTAACACACATACCTGTGTTCTTGTAGTAGCCAGCCTTGCAGTGGAGAATGAAGTTTTCGGCTGTTTTCGGCACCTGCACGCCAACACGACCATGACAACATTCGGCCATACAGCAACACAGTCAAACTAACGAACAGCAACAGCAACCAGACACCCACTGCAGCACTAGATACACGGTATTTATGAATGCTTGTTCCCAGCAGCAAGACACGCAGACGATGAACTGGACAAGAAAGTACTGTACGCCATGGACGCTTGTTGAAAGACAAAACCCTCGCATCCCTGAAAGCATAGGCTTTGCACTTGCTCACTTTCAAGTTTCAACATTCGTCTAGGCGCTGCAACTGCCCAGAAAAACCTGGGATACTGTAAGCCCGGAAACGTTCGCGAATTGCGATGACAGACCATTTCGCGTCTGCAAACATTTGAGATTCGGGTCAATTTGATGATTGACTCGAGTCTGCAGGTTCGCATTTTGCGCCCACTGACTTTCGCGATTTCACCCCCATCGCAAAAAATCGCGAACATTTCAGAATCGCAAATGTTTCTAGGTTTACAGTACACTTACGTGTCCAAGGTAATGGAGCAGGCAGGCATGTCCGCGAGAGCTCACATGCAAAGGTGCACAGGGTTAAGCTTGATACCCCGGCAAGCACAGACTTGCGGGCCCTGAACGGATACGTCCCGTATCACCATTTCAAGATGGAGCGCATCGGCACCCTCCGGGACTTGCTCCAGCCTGGGGACTTCCTCACCCGGCTGGATCTCAAGGATGAGTACCTCACAGTGGCGATGAGGGCCAGCGATCGCCGCTTCCTTCGTTTCAGCTGGCAGGGAGTTCTGTATGAGTTCCGGTCACTCCCATTCGGCCTGTCGTCGGCCCCCTGGACATTCACCAAACTCCTCCATCCGGTGGTGGCGACACTTTGCCAATTCGGGATCTGAGTGATCATCTATTTGGACGACCTGCTCGTCCTGGCGCATTCATTGCTGGCCGCTCGGGAAGCTACGGCGTCGGCCGGATATACCCACTAAGGAATCTGAGCTTCACGGTGACTCCGAAGCTACAATAGCAGCAGTCCTCACCTCCCTGTGTAGTCCAGAGAAGGAACACATGCCATTGATTAAGGGCTGGCGAAGTCCTGCCGTCGCTCTCACTACCTGATGCCATTGAGCGTTTCATCTCTTGGCTTCAGTCCATTGGTGGTTCGAAACCGGTACTTATTGCACACAACTGCATGTCGTTTGATGTGCGTGTGTTACTGGGTGAGGTGAAGCGTGCTGGGCAGTCGTACGTACAGCAGCTTGTTGCAGCAATTGCTGGCTTTGCTGATTCTCTGCTAGCCTTGAAGCAGGTCCACCCTGGAAGGCAGTCATACAAGCAAGAGGATCTGGTCCAGGACATCCTGAAGGAGGACTATGCCGCCCACAGTGATTCTCTGCTAGCCTTGAAGCAGGTCCACCCTGGAAGGAAGTCGTACAAGCAAGAGGATCTGGTCAAGAACATCCTGAAGGAAGATTATGGCGCTCACGGTGCCGATACAGATGTCGACGTCCTCGGGAAATTGGTGCGGAAGACAATCCTGGATAGTGTTATTCTTGAGCACAGCACACAAGTCGGGTCGGCATTGTCTGTTCTTGCTGCCCGTGCAGCCAGTAAAGGTATGTTCACTATATGCAACCAGTCGTGACAATCATTTTTACCAGTCATGCAGCAGTGCAATGGTGTCTGCAGGAGCTGCTGCCCCGTCCCCAGTTTCAACCACTCATAGTCGTGCCATGCCGCAGTTATCTGCCTAAATATTGACGTTGTACCGCCGGAGGCGTGAGAATGGATAAGATCTGTCCAATCCACACTACCAGCAGTGGCTGCTAGCTGTCTCATCCCGCAGTAACCAAGCAACTCAAGCAACTCAAGTTGCTCCTTGACCGTATTATAGGCCACTCAGTATTTTGTACATACATTTACAGTCTACTGCTGCTTGCCAAACGCAGCATCATTGATCAGCTCACACAACCGGAAGCAAATGGCCAAGTGCGCAGAGCAAAATCCGTGTAACTGCAAGTCAGCGCCAAGTTGCCCGCTGAAAGGAGACCGCCAAGCAGAGGCCAAGGTGCCCGCTGAAAGGAGACCGCCAAGCAGAGGCCAAGGTGCCCGCTGAAAGGAGACCGCCAAGCAGAGGCCAAGGTACCCGCTGAAAGGAGACTGCCCAGCAGAGGCCGCAGTATACGAGGCGGTCGTGACCACAAGACATCTCGATGTGAGAGGCTACTTCGGCTTGACTGCACCCCCTTTCAAGCTACGCCTGGCGAATCACAAGACATCCACGCGTGTCGTCACATACAAGAACAGCACTGAGATTTCGAAATACGCCTGGTGTTTGAAGTCCCAAAATGAAGAGTGCGACATAAAGTGGAGGATCTGTGGAAGGTCCAGAGCCTACAGTAACCTATCCACGCGATGCTCGCTATGCAAAGCGGAGAAAACCTGGATCGTGCTCAGTGATAAAGACTACGCTCTCAACAAGAGAAGCGAAATGGTATCGAGGTGCCGACATGCCAACAAATATTGCCTGAAGGACTACACAGGGGCAGCTATCACTTGAAGCGCCCATATCCCCTGGGCAATCAACGCTGTCTGCACACCCCTTATACAAGCTTGCGCTGATTTCCTCACGTGTAAGTTACTTACACACTCACCACTCTGTATCCTGGCTTTGCACCTATTGGCGCCCTATTTGCTCTTTCTTTTGACCAGCGCTATTTCGCTGCTCTCACCTGATGGTGCTTTCAGCTCACCCCACCAGACCCTGTAAAAGACCCCTTGTTCTGGCTGACCCACTATTGTTTTGCCTGATGATTGCACCTACCAGTGCATGAAACTCTGAGTAGCAAACTGAACTCATGTCGCTTTCTTGGTGAACATTTGTCTTCATCTGCCGCTAGGGTGTTAGTGGTCGTCGTGATTTCCCTTCGGGAACGGATATGATAATTATTATTATGGTGAAAAAGGAGGACAAAATGTTACGAGTTATGACTAACTGTCCACCAACGTAACCAGATCTTATACAGTCAGCGAGTGCGACAAAAATGGCACAAAACTGACAAAGGAGTACTGAGACATTCGGCGACCTGACGTTGGTGGACAGTTAGTCATAACTCGTAACATTTTGTCCTCCTTTTTCACCATAATTTAATGGGCTCAACATCCGAGTTATAATTATTATTTTCATTTTTTATTGTTCGTCTTCAGATATCCAATCCAGTATACGGTATGTACATAGATGTACCTGCAATATACAAGCAAAGATGTAAATAACACCATTCAGTGATGACTGTCGGATGTGGTACTAACTGGGATTGGCCTATAGCAAATGCTTCCTGCCCCACCTGGTCTTAGTAAAGCCTGAACAAAGTCATACGCTCATTTTTGACAACAATGCTGAATCTGACTTTCAATTCGAAATGCAACACCCGTCGCAAATCTTTTCTTTCTCAAGGAAAAAGGAGATGGTAAACATCAAAATTCTTGTTTGTATACCTTTCCCAGGGCCTTGAAGAGCATAATAATTATTAGTTTGACCATAAAATTGACGCTCAGTTCTCATACCCATGGTTTGTACACACCTTTGTGAGAAATCATACCTTTGTATTTTAGTGCTCTCATTGTATCCTGCTTACCCTACCTTGATTGCTATGATTACTTCCTTTGTTCTTATCCCCCCCCCCCCCACACACATACGCACACTTACCATCTCACAATGGATTTCTAAGTTCAGGTCACCATGATTCGTCTTGATCTGAACGTAACCTAAGCACATGGGAGCAATCAGTGCGGACATGCTTAGAACAAGCAACAGAGATGAAGTGGATGCCTTGAAGAGCCCGAGTACTGAGCAACGCCAAAAGTGAACAAGAGAAAGTCAAGGAATCTGCAAAAGATAGCTCAAGTTCATTGTGATCAATTCGGGCCCAGCCACCGTCCAAGCAACTGATCAATTCGGCCCAGCCACCGTCCAAGCAACTGATCAATTCGGCCCAGCCACCGTCCAAGCAACTGATCAATTCGGGCCCAGCCACCGTCCAAGCAACTGATCAATTCGGGCCCAGCCACCGTCCAAGCAACTGATCAATTCGGCCCAGCCACCGTCCAAGCAACTGATCAATTCGGGCCCAGCCACCGTCCAAGCAACTGATCAATTCGGCCCAGCCACCGTCCAAGCAACTGATCAATTCGGGCCCAGCCACCGTCCAAGCAACTGATCAATTCGGCCCAGCCACCGTCCAAGCAACTGATCAATTCGGGCCCAGCCACCGTCCAAGCCAATCACGAACCAACATGGTGGAAGCGCCTCGCTGTCTAAAGGCTGTTCATGCTCAATACACC